AGGCGGAGGCTGAGCCAGGCTGCCTGAAGACGACCGTTGGTCTCGGGGAGGCCTGTCAATAAGAAGGGCTGCAAGTAGCGGCAGAGGACCATCTCATCAACAAGTGACCAGTTGGTGAGTGGACGGGGTGTAGGGGTGGCAGAGCCCCGGGGAACATCTGAGGACCCAACCGTGAGTACCCCCCTTCACATCGGGCAAGCCCCTCTGGCAGAAGTTCTCCACTGAACCCCTCCTTCGAATCACTTAACATCCAAGTCATGGCAGGCGGTTCGAGGGGGAGGGGCTACCAGACGAAGGGTGGTACTGGACATGGGGCCCATAGACGTCACAACCTCTATCTTCATTTGGCAGCCAAGCAATAGCATATACCCTGTGCAGCAGCTAGTCATGGACCAAGGACACTGTCCTTGGAACATAAGAGAAAACTGCTGGACAAAGGAAAGCAATTGTCTCAGATCCTACGCCACTCTTTTCTGTGACCAAATGCTCCTGTTTCCACTCTCAATTATGGAACCAAGAATGACCATCTCCGTTGCTAAATCCAGGATCCCAAGCAAGTGGACTAATTTCCCCACAAACTAGCAGATCACTTTTTTCTCTCTGTGAAACTACAAAATTATCCCTACTCCCAGCTGTTACTCACTCTCTCCAATGACTGATCTTTTCAATAACCACTCTCCTCTGATTTTTTTTTTTTTTTTTCCAGTGGCAAGTGCCCCAATTCCCTTGGATCTACCCATCCTTCCCCAGCCAATCAAGTTGTGAAGTCCTCTGCATGCTTCTAGCTAGAAGAGCACTCAGCCTTTTCTCTGCTTTTTCACTGACATTAACTGTAATATGACCCTTGCTTTCCCATCCCAGTATTCCTAACTGCAAGTGGCTAAATTACCTTTTATTATTCGTATTTTCAGAATGAGATATTTTCAGAGAATTGATAAAAGAGAGTGCATTTATTAAGATGAGGGATATATTGACACAAACATTTCATTGTAGCCAAGAGCTTTGCAGATTTATATATGTATATAAACACACACACACATATATGGATTAAATCTTTATATGGCTGTTGAAAATGTCAACAATTACATTTGACGTGGTGAAAAAAATTCTAAGAGTACTTCAAACATAAACCAGCTACTAACTAATGGGAATTAGAAAATGCCTTCAGTTGTAGGCAGGATATTTCTTGTACCATCCACTGATACGTTTGGTTATGATGCTGCAAGGTACCAGAGCAGATGAAGTAAATGTCTAATCAGAAATAGTACCTTCCTGTGCTTTTACATAGTGCTGGAACCCTTTTTGGGGGTCTCTGCAATCTGAGCAAGCTCTCTGTATTCATTTAGTGCTCTCAATGTTCAGCATGTATGAATACCTTGTTGCATATAACAGGCATCCTTCTTGTCCTTTTCAAGGCCTTTTTTGTATCCAGAGCTTTCTCACTTTGAAAAAACTGCCATTAGCAGAGTGAATAAACAAGCACTTGGCATGCAAGAGCTGTTAGGGGTAGAGTACGAAGCAAGACCAGCCTGAGCTTCATCCCCATATCTATTCACCAGCTCCCACAGTGTTGCCAAACTCTAAAGATCAACAACTGTTAGAGTGATTAGCCACACATCCTCTCCTTAAAAAGAATGATAATAATAAAAAAAATGGTTTTTAACTCTTGTGACCCAAAGCTGAATAGAAGAGAGCCAAGCCAAGAAGCAGAAAAAGACTGGCAATTTTTTGCAGTCAATCTGGGTTTCAAAACAGTACGCTGTCAGAGCTTGAGAAATGCAGGCATTCAAATGCTGATGCTAAATAAGTATTTGAGACACGTTTTTGGTTGAATGTAAGAGCAGGAGCAATCTAGTTCGTTACAGTCAGGCATGCAGAGAAACTCTGAAGGAAAACAAGTATAAAATGGTAGCAGGGATTTAAAAAGAAACAAACTGAAGGAAAAGACTCACGCAAAATATTTGTAAATTGTGCTAATAATGAGGAGAGGGGGTGAGAGGTAAGCATAAGTCCAGTATGACCTCAGTAATTCTTGTTTCATCATTAATGAGCTCTGTAGATCTTAAAGATTTTGGAATAAAGTTGGCTAAAATTAAAGCTTGATGTGTGGGTCTGTCCAAAAATTGTCAAGACTGTGGGTAGCTTGATACAAATATTGCCTTCTTGCAAATTCATAGATTGTAAGGCTGGAAAGGACCTCAGAAGATCATCGAGTCCAGCCCCCTGCAACAAGCAGGAAAGACAACTGGGGTCAGGTGACCCCAGCAAGCTGACTGTCCAGTCTTCTCTTGGAGATTTCCAGGGTAGCTGATTGCACAACCTCTGGAGGGAGCTTATTCCACAGTCTGGATACCCTAGTTGTGAAGTAGTTTTTTTTCTAATGTTGAGCCTGAAATGGTCTTCCAGGAGTTTGTGACCATTACTCCTAGATTTCCCCAAGGGTGCCCTGGTGAACAGTAGTTCACCGAGCCCTTGATGTATGCCTCTGATGTAGCAGTAAGCTGCTACCAAGTCCCCTCTCAGCCTTCTCTTTTTCAGGCTGAAGAGTCCCAGATCCTTCAGCCTTTCTTAGTATGGCTTACCATGCAAGTTTCTAATTATATGGGTGGCCCTTCTCTGGACTCTCTCAAGCTTTACCACATCCTTGTTAAAGTGTGGCACCCAGAACTGGATGCAATACTCCAGCTGCAGTCTCACCAATGCCAAGTAGAGTGGGAGAATCACTTTGGTTTTGCTGGAGATGCATTGATTGATGCATGCCAGAATATTGTTAGTCCTGCTGGCTACAGCGTCGCACTGCCAGCTCATGTTCATATTGTGGTCTATTATAACCCTCAGGTCCCTTTCATTCATAGTGCTGGTCAGGTTGGCATTGCCAAGCCTGTAAGTGTGCAGGGGATTGTTCAAGATGGCACAGATCTGTTCATTAGAACTCTCTGAGTCCTACCCCGCAGCCAGCTTCCTACCCATCTAACTGTTGAGCAGTTAAGCCCACAGTCTTCCAATTTGCTTGTGAGAATATCATGGGATACCAGATAGAAACCTTTTTGGAAGTCGGTGTATATAATGTCAACCTCCTTTCTCTTATCCAGATGGTGAGTCACCTGATGGTAAAAGGAGATGAGGTTGGTAAGACAAGACCTGCCAGTGATGAAGCCATGCTGGCTGTCATTCAGAATCCTACCTTCTGCAAACCTATCAACGCATATAGTTAAAAGAGCTGATGTATATTAGGGATGTGAAACTAATATTTTCTGTTTTATTGATTCCAGCATGTGATTCACATATGTCTTGCTAAAGGAGAGGATGATGGTTTGAACATTAGTTTGGGCATGGACTACCTGGGTTCAGTTCCCTGCTTTGCTGAAGACTTTTTTGTGGAACTTTGAACAAGTTACTAAGGAATAGGTCCATAAAAGGAGTGGGGATATGTTGCTAATAACAGTGGATAACTTTTAGGTTAACTTTTAAGTGGAATCATCCCCCATAAATTCGGAACCTTGATTTCCTGCCTCATAACTGAAAGACACAAAATCTCTTATTTGTCTGATGTAAACCGGGTGTAGAGGATAATATGGTCCTGTGATGGGCTGTACAGATTGGCCAGGAAATGACCTAATGAGCCAACATGGGTTCAATCAGTAGGCCTTGTTAAATGTGAAATAGGTAACAGGCTTGGAGGGAGAAATTAAAAGGGGAGAGCCTAACTCAACTAGGTGCTACCTCATTGGGAGATTGCAACCACAAGAAGATTTTCTGCTTCTGTGGCTAGGGAAAGGGATGATGCAACTGTTGTTTTGTATTATGTGCCAGAGACTTGCTCAGTTGTGTTACATTAGGTAGCGGGGATGATGCCTTGTCAGTGGGGAGAAGCAGCCAAATAGAAGCCTTTTTTTGGTTTTATTGTGGCTCACTGGGTATTCTGTAGTAGTTTGCCATGAGCCTGGAGTGATGCAATCATAGTTGTAGTTAGCTGAAAAATTTGACCCCTATCACGGTACTTACCTTGTGCTTTGATGTACACAGCACTTTTTGACGCATGCAAGATCCTTGTCCCAAGACACTGAAAAACTGAGGTTTTGCATGTAGTAGACCTAAACTAATACGCTTATTGACAATGTTTTCACTGAGCTTGGAGTGATCCTACAGCCTCAGAATTCTGGTCAAGGGAGTTGCAACTAATTGTGCATAATGAGGAAGAAAACAGACTATATAATATTTTGGGAGTGATTTGTGTAACATCAGCAATTGCTTTATCTTTTAGTTCTAAAGGCCAGTCTTAACTTATAGCTTTAACTTCCAAAGAGTTGCTTATAAGTAATTGGATGGACTTCAGTGGGGCTGCTTACATAGTTAAAAACCTACTTGCCTGAATACAGGTTTGTTGAATTAGGCTGTGGTAGATGGTGTATGGTTTCTGAGTGCATGAAGTGGTGTAACTGTAACATGTAACTGGCATCTGCCTAGGGATTCTTTCTCCTTTCAGCTGTTTAAGGGGTAATTCAGTCCTTCAGCCTGTTGACCTCATATATCTAAAAAAAAAAAAAAAAAAAAATCCAAGGGGTTACTACATGGAAAACAATTATGGGAAATGTGTGTGTGTGTGGGGTGGGGCTTGTTTTGTTTTTTGCTGTTCCATTCCAGCAGCTGTTCTGGCTTCTTGCCAGAGCTGCTTCAAGGGATAAATGGAAAACAGGGAAGTTTTTACCCTTAGATATGTGTCTGGTTAAATTGTAAAGTGTGGTTTGGATGCACTTTAAATTTCAAATCAAACACAAATCGTCTTGCGGTTTAGTTACTCTCAAAAGGCATAGGCTGGGTCCATCTGGTTATTGGCGTTCCAAATATGTTTTATTTATTTTTGGCAATTTAAGTTCCTTTTTTATGCTACTTTTCAGTTATTTACTATATTAATTTGAGCTTTCTGTGGAGGCCCCTTGACTAAAACATGTATTGGTTTTATATTATTTGCAGGAGCAGATGGACCTACCAGAGATAAATCTTCTGCTGTGATAGACAAAAGAACAGAAAGAGTCTTTGGGATCAGATGATTAGTAGGATCCAGAGTGTATCAGGTGTTGCCTGAAGAGAAGCAGCAGCAGCAGGAGAAAAAGGAACCAGAGCAGATAGGTAATTGTGAGTTTCTAGGAAACCAGAACATACCTGTTCTCAGGCCAGTGCGTCACAATAAACATAGAAAGTTGTTGGCTTCTACTTGATTTTGAGACCTGAGACTTTTTTGTTTCCAGTCTACAGGCATCTACATATGTCACCAGGTGTTTATATAGCTACTGAACATGGGTAATGTGTAGAGAGTGCACGTGCACTCCCTAAGCGTGATGGTCACCGCTCGCCAACTCCCCTCACCACCAACAACACTACAGCTGCCTGCAACAGCTCCCCACTTGCCTCCACCACATTCCCACTGCCAAAAGCATCCCTGCTGCCTGTGGGAGCTCACTGTGACTCCCCAGCCTCTGGGGGCACGCGTTGTTCATGTTACTGGAAATACTCAAAAAGACAGTAATTTTAGTTATATCACGAACTATTTTTTTTACTCTTAAAAAGTGGTTTCAGGTTAAAGTTTATTGCTCAGTGACAGGATAAAGTCATCTGTACAGAAGTTTCACTTGGAAAGAGGTAGAAAAATGGGATCATCTGATATTTTTGGTCTCTTCGCATCTGAGTGTTTGTGAGTCCAAACTTGCTCTGTGTGAGACTGGAAAAGGTCAGACCACAATGCTATGGATACAGTCTTTGCATTCCCATTAAGTGTGAGAGAGCAAGAAGGTGAGTAATCAAATTTGGGTCTCATGGAGTAATATAGCAACAACCACTGGATCAATCTTTCATGTAAAAGACTAATTATATAAAACTTTAAAAAATGTCATACAAAAAGTCATAAACACTTGTTCCCACAGTCATGGAATTTTAAATTATATTGAGAACCTCAGGAAATTATTTTTTTCCACTGAAAGTGAATAAGCATTCTCTAATGATATTGGCACAATCATTATGATTCAGGCCACTTCATTAGCAATAATTGTGGCTGCATTGCCTAGTCATTGAGAGTTGGAAGAGTTAATATGATGGTTAAAGGTCAGAAATTATTTGTGGCTGCGGCTCTCTCTTTCATCAAGGTGTCCAGGAAATAGTTATCAGTTCACATCACAGGTGTTAATATGCAATTACAGATCACAAAAGCTTTTTCTGAATAAAATGGTTTGCAGCCTAAATAAACTTTTTAATGGGATTGCTGCCCAACTGGAATGAATGGGCATTCCTGGAAATATACAAGTAAAGTTGTTGCTTTTCAAAGGAGATAAATATCTAAAGCTAGTACATTTAATTGGAGCAAGAGAGCCTAACTTCCTTAGAATTCTTTGAAAACCTCCTTTTGAGGTTTTACTGCAGGTTGAACTTGGTTATCAGGTCTAAGTATCTGAATTAGTTTAAACCATGTCTAACAACCCTCTGATTTTTTTCCCCAGAACATTTGGGGATAATGTCTATCCTTCTGGGCACACTAGAGGGAAGACTATCAGCATCTGAGTGATCCTTACTGCAAAATAGATGGGTCACCAGTCCAAGAAAATGAAGATCAATATCACTACTAAACTCAAGTGAGATGTTTTGTTGCAGAAAGATAGAGATAACACCCAATACAAACTTTACAATGAAATTCAAATATTTCTAATCCATATAGAGATCAGTACTGGCTGTACTCAGTGCCTCATTAATTGTAAAAACAGAAGGAGATGAAGCCATCCAGATTGATAATACTATTTCTTTTCAAAAGATGCCCTTACTATTGCTTTACTGTGTTTATTCTCAACCAGGTTGCTGCAATACCCTGCAATATTGCAATCCTTATAAGGGTGCTGTAGCATGCTAGGTGTGTAAACACCTATACATGATCCACAAGACCTGTTGTGATCTGAGCTCTCTGCAACAGAATTGCTCTATTATTTTTCTGTAGTCAACAGAAGAGTGAAAGCTAAGAGCTAGCATTTTCTAAGGAATGTCTTGAGTCCAACAAAATTGAAAACCACTGCTTTAGTAACTAACAGCTTCTGAGCTCTATTAATTCATTCCATGGTGCTCAGTTATATGGTTCCAATATCTTTATTTTAGTTTGTAATACTGCTACATTTAATATTTTATAATCACTGCATACAGTGGGTTCTTAGATTGTTAAACTTTGTTTGTTGGTGTCTCAGCTGAATCGGAGCTCCCTGCTCGGACAGTATTCCATTGTCTTTTCCCCCAGGCACTGTGAAGCTTCCCCCAACCAACATCTTGGTTTATTTATTTTTCCTTTGATAATTATTCACTCTTAAATTCTACTTTCTGCTGACAAACTTGATCAAACTGGTTTTGGAACTTGGGCTGTCTCTTAGCATACTCCTTATTTGGTGGTCAGAACATGATCTACTTTCTGTTATCCTTAGCCTCATGGATAGATGGTAGAGGTGGGGTTCCTAATCCCTGAGCCATGGCCCAGTACTGAGCCGCAAATTGCTGGCTGCTGGTCCACAGGAGGGTTGGCTACTGCAGACTGGAAATGACTGCAGACCTGCAAACTGCGGACTGGAAGTGACCAGCATGCTGCGGACCGGCAGCCAATCCCTTTTTATGCTAACTATAAAAAAGGGTTGGCTGCCTGCCCGCAGTATGCCGGTCACTGCTGTCCGCAGTTTGCTGGTCTGCGGTCACTTCTGGTCCATGGTTTGCCGGTCCTCAGCATAAAAAGGTTGGGAACCCCTGTGCTAGAGGCCTTGTCAGGAAACAGTGAATTTAGACCTTTAGGAAGTGGAGTTTTTAAAAAATAAAAGTACTGCCTTCTCATCATAACTGCATAACTCCATAGCAGCAACCAGAATTCATACTCTGTAGATAGTTTTCAAATCATTACATAAGTCCTGATTATGTTCACACTGAAGTAAGCAGCTTAACTTCAGTAATTCAGGTTTGGAACCGTATTAAGGAATGTGATACAAGAACAGAAGCTTTGCTATACTAGAACAGTGCTATTGGTTGCTGTTGAAGACGTATATCTAGTAATGCCAACTCTTGTGAAACAATTGCGAGACTCCTGATTTCCAAGACAAGTTAACCCTAACTCATGATCTCTGGATAGAGATCAAATCTCTGTATTTTTTTTCTACTGGCATATGTAGAGCAGTGCTGTGCCAGTAAGTCTGTGGAGGAGAAGGGATGGGGGTGGGGCAGATCAAGGGCCCCCATGATGAGGGAAAGACTGATTCCCAGGGCAAGGGCAAGTTGTGGGATGGAGCCGTAGGTGGCTTATGCAGAGTTGCAGGGGAGGGGTGGGTGGCTCCCTGCCCCTATGCACCCCTGGGGGAGGCATGGGGGGCAGGTGCCCCTCGGATGTGCCTGGGGCAGAGGCAGGCTGCCCATTGTGGGCTTGGGGCTCTGTGTCCTGGTGCCTTTGCCTCAGGAGCCGGGCCATGTGTCCCCTGCCTTCCCAGGAGCATTGTGCGGCTCCTAGGGCAAAGGCAGCAGGGTGCAGAGCCCCAGCCCACAGCAGGCAGCCCACCTCCACCTTGCTAACAAATCTGAGGGGCACCTGCCTCCAATGCCTCCCTCTAGGGTGTGCACAGGGTCGGGGAGCTCCCCACCCCTGCCCTGAGCTCTGTCGCAAGACCCTCAGCCGGGCATGCCTCTCTGCCTGCCTGCCTGCGTGTGTGTGTGTGGGGAGGGCAGGGGTGGTCTGTGTGTGTCGGGGGGTCTGTCCGTCTTCCCCTCTCTCCCCAGCCACAGCACCCCACCCCCAACCCTGCTGCTGGTACTCACAGTACACTGCATCCTGCCAGGGTGTGCAGGGATCCCCCCTCCCTGGGCTCCTAACCACCCATACACACCCACAACCCTCACACCTTCATAAATAATGCCCCCTCGCACATGCACACACTTCAAAAATAACATCTTATGATTTAGATTCCAAATCTCTTGATTTTTAAGAGTTTGTCTCAATATTTTTGACAGGCTGGGATTGGCAATACTGTATGTCAGTACAGATGTTTCAGAAGAAGGAGCAAAAGAGTCCATCGTGAAAGTTGTCCTCCGTCAATTGATGGCTTCCTGAAACTGAAACAGGAGGGTTCAAATTCCTTCTCAACGCTTACTCTAGCTAGAGAAAAGAAGCATGTTCATATTAACGACATAAATGTCAATTCTTTTTACTCTAAGCTATTGGTTTCAGTAGTGCCTAGTGCATTCCTTATATCAATTATTCACTTAAAATAGTGTGGTGTTTTCTGATTCTTTTAGAGTGTTTTCCTTTGAAATGGTAAACCGAGCTCGCAATTTTATCTATGCAATTTTTATATGCCTGTGCCATGATCTTTTATTTATCTCTCTCTCCAAGTCAACAATCCTAGTTTTTCAATTTTCCTGTGGCAGTATTTCCATGCATCTAATAACTACTGTTGCCTGTCTCTGGACTGTTCTGTTTCTAATATATTTGTCAAGGTAAAATCATAAAAACTGAACAAATTATTTAAGTTTACACTGAGTAACTGATGTACGTAGTAACATTGCAGTATTTTCAATTTTCTGTGCTACTTTTTTTCTTTATTTTAATGCTCTGTTTGTTTTTTGTGACTGCTACAGACTGAGCAGATGTCTACCTGAAAATACCGAAGCCTTTTTTCACTGAATGACTCTCACTTCTTAGTTCAGACCCAAACAAGGACTTAAAGTAGTTTAGATTATTCCATCCCCAATGATTAGCTTGAACACATAATACCAAGTATCTTTGATGGTCCTGCCAAGGTACCTAGGTGTGGCAGGTTCCTCTTGGGACCTTTAACCTTCTGTGGCCTTGATTAAGGAAAATAACTTTGCATGGTTCATATATCGTATGATTTTTCCTCAAATGTTCCTGGCTTGCTTATTCTTCAAGCTGGCAAATCTTATGTTCTCTCTTCAAAATATATATGAAGATTTTGAAGTTCTAAAACAAAGCTATCCTTGCAGTATCCACATACAAAGCGAGAATTTTTTTTTTTTTTTTTTTTTTTTTTTAAAAGCCTGGAAAAATTCATTTTTCAGGCCCAGATAATTCAAAAAAATCTTAATGGCTTCTCTTAATAGACAGTGGCTTTCTTTTCAGGAAGACAGAAATCACTTCAGGGCTCTAAAACTGCATGAGAAATTTTAGGCAAAAAGGTAACTTATCAGGGAGTTCATAAGTTATTCTTTTTTAATTTTACAGTGCTGATATGGGAAACATCTGTAGTCTTATGGTAGTTAACTATGGGTAGGAAGGACTGAGACAAGTGGCTGCTGTTATTGCAAAAATAGGGTGTAAGGTTTTAAATTTCCATAAATTTGTATAGTGTGATTCAATTCACACTTTAAGTGTTAATGTGAGAAATTACCACA